GGGATGGGATGGGATGGGATGGGATGGGATGGGATGGGATGGGATGGGATGGACATGAGCTCTCTTTTCCTTGGGGCCACCACTCACCCTACCTCCTCTGTCTCTTGCAGGAGTATCCCATGCTGCACTTACAGCCCCAGAGCAATGTTCTGTGCATCTACACACTGCCTCCAGTCATTCTCTCTGTACAGGAGCCTTAGGTGCATGCAGGTTCAGTGGGGGGAGTGCTCCAAATCAGTTGCCCTGGGGCAAAAGCTTATTATTTTTTTTCTAATGCCAGCTAGCGACTAGCTCTCTTTTCATTAAAGTTTCATGCAAAATTGCTCAGAGAGTTATTCTGGGGATGATGGTGCAGAGTGTAGATCTCGAGGAGTAGTGGGTCCCATCGCAGTGCCCACAGGCAGTGATGCAGCTGCTGCATCTCCATCTCACAGGCTGAATGGACATGACCAAGGAGGGCAGGACACCATTGCAGTGCTGAGCTGTGGAGCGTGTTGTTGCTAACCATGGAGAAGCAGTTGTCAAATTTACTTCCAGGATGGGTGTTTCTATGCTTGGCGTCATCCAGCAGTCCTTGGGACTGTACAGCACCTGAAATCTTGCTGGCACCCCTGAGCCTGGCTGCATGTAGCTTAGCACCTCCCAGATTTTGAGGGCACATCAGTGTTTCTTCTGCTGGTTTTGTATTTTCTGTTGTCATTGTTAGTTGTTCTTATCCAAGAACCTGTTCCCTGGTCACGCTGTTCGTTATGCAGTAATCAGCCCTGTCCTTCACCCACTGCAGGTCCAGCAGCACCTTTTAATCCCTAGATGTTTACCTTTAGGATGTCTCACTGCTGAGGCAGCTTTTTTCAGCACTGGGGAAGCAGCAAGGGGGAGGGGGGGCTACTCAATCAGCTTAGTCATCACTCTGCCGCTGCATCAACCCCCTGCGGGCCAAAATTACACATCAGGCTCCACAGAAAACGCGTGATTGGCTTTAAATTCCTGATCCCAGAAACAAAAAAACAAACAACAAGAACACGCAGGGAGCATGGCGTTCCCTACAGATGTCCCTGTGCCTGAGCCTTGGCAAGATGCTTCTCAAGGTCTTCTCTACTGAGAAACATGCAGATCTTCCTGGACAGACATGGATCTGGGAATGACGATTTTAGAAAAATGACATTGCAAGAGATAGCAGCTGTTTGCAGGGTGGGAGACCCACTGCAAGCAGCTTGCTGAGATAGCAGTGCCAAGAACCTTCAGCAATTCTACCCGGGCTTTGCTTTGGTCTCAGTGTCTAAAGGCACACAGCAAAGCGGATGGGGGCAGCTGCATGTCCACTGCTCGCCCCTAAGCAGTGCTGGCAGCCAGAAGCAGGTTTTCTGGTCTTCTTCCTTACTGGAGTTTCATACTCCCATGGCTGATAACTTTATTTGCTCTCCTAGGTGGGGCACGAGAAACTTCAAAAAGACAGGAGGAGTCCAGAGAGACAGCTACACCATCTACCCTGAGTTCACCTCAGAGGCTTACTCTGCTCCATGCTGCTGGTGAAGAGCAAATACAGGCTTTCATTAAAACTGACTTGGGCAACTGTTCCCCTCAGACCATTTTTTACAGGCTGGGGAAGTTCTCTGGAAAGGGGGGAGAAACTTTGGCAACTATTGGCTTGGTGGGCACTTTAACAGCCCTCAGGGGCTGGTACCCTGCCACCACCCACAAGTTGGAGACCAAGAAAGCGCACAAGGAAAAGCTCTCAGCACGTAGTAACACGTCCAGAAATAGAAGCAGCCGTTGATAGCCGTGTTTGTCGGTTTCGTGTTGGGCTTCTTAGGACCTGCTTGCTTTTGCCAAGTTATCTGGGAAGAGCTGCCATCCATCTGGGATGCTGAGTGCAGACACAGGCTAAATAAGGAGGGGGATTTGAAACCAGCATGTAACTAATGCAGGCATGAAATGCCCTTCTCTGACTATGATCTGGGAGCCCAGTGTCAACGGGGAACACCCCACAGGGCCTTCCACGTGCGCTGCAGATGATAAACCCGCCGGGCCGCGGTCCCCACGGGAGGGAGGCTCCAGCACAGAGATTTCACATTCCTGCGGGGCACCACCGCTGCCGTGCCTTGCCCACACCTAGCAGCACCCCAACCCTGCCTGGGGCAAGGGGAAAATCCCATGAAAACCCCATCCCGACCCAAAATCATCTATGCGCAGCCCCAGCCAGTGCCCTGGGGGTACACACACCCCCCCCACACCCCCCCGCAAGTACCCCCGGGCATCCCCAGCAACTCCAACCCCCGGGGCTGGTGCTGCTGCCGTCGTGGGAGCGGCGGGGGCCGAACTACATCTCCCAGCGGGGAGCGGGCCGGGGGGGCCGGGCCGGGGCCGGGGCCGGGGC